TTTGTTCAGTTGAAACGGCAAAGTACGATGTTGTGCACTCTAATATGGTCCGTTTGTTCTACGTCTACAGTGACTGTCCAGCTGAAATTCACAAGAATGATGTTTGCAACTGCATAGTAAAGTACAAATGACAAACAAAGAAACCGAGACATGCAAGGTAACACACAAAGCACAGAAGCTAGCAATCTGAGGGAAATAAAAGTAGGCACAATGGTACAACAGACCAACAAGCATGCAAGCAATGATACCGTATGGCCCCGGATATAGGCGCCGGCCTATTACAGGCGCCGGCGCTTCTATCTGGAGCATGGCGCTTATGGCCGATCCTCGATTATAAGCGCCACCCCTTTTGTACCCTTCCTTATTATAAGCGCCAACCTCAATATTAACACTTTTTTTTACCACCACAACAAAAGCAAAACAAGTATAACATCGTTCGCTTCAACGTATACTACAAGTCAATACACAATTTTAGACTTAATCTGCTATTCTACCTAGGTGCTAGTACCGGAACTACTTGTCAGAATGTTCTTATCTAGCCTGTAGTGGGGTGCTCTATAGCGAGTACAACCTTGTTAGGGTTTGCTATTTGTATCCCCATTCTTGCTAGTCAAGCCCTCTTCTTTCTTTCTAATTTTGACATGCTATCAGAGCAGGTCGATCCCCTTGGATCGATCCTGTGGGTGGGTTACCACCACCTCGTTGCTTCCGCTGCAACTGCTACTGCTACTCTCTGTGCCGCACGCCCTGTGGCGTGCAGCAGTTTTTCTTCCCGCCGTGCGCCCCGAGGCGCGCGGCGGTTTTCTGCCCGCCGTGCGCCCCGAGGCGCGCGGCGGTTTTCTGCCCGCCGTGCGCCCCGAGGCGCGCGGCGGTTCTCTGCCCGCTGTGCGCCCCGAGGCGCGCGGCGGGCTTCTGCCTCGTCGCTCGGCGCGTCGCCCTCGGGAGGCGCTGCGACGCGCGACGGGGACCCGCACGCCGGCCCGTCGACGCCCGTGCGCCGCTGCCCCGGCTTGTCGACGCCCGTGCGCCGCTGCCCCGGCCCGACGACGCCCGTGCGCCGCTGCCCCGGCCCGTCGCCGCCCGTGCGCCGCTGCCCCGGCCCCGCGCAGCTGCCCCGGCCCGTCGCAGCCCGTGCGCCGCCAGCCCCGGCCCGTCGCCGCCCGTGCGCCGCTGTCCCGGCCCCACACCGCCCGTGCGCCGCCCGTCCCGGCCCCGGCCCCGCCTACGCCCCCCCCCCTTTTCCCGTCGCCCGTCGCGGCTCCCTCGGGGGCCGCTTACCTAGCGGAGGGGGGCGAGCGCCGCCCCCCCCCCCTTCTGCTGCCTGTCTTGGCGCCCTGGGCGGCCGCGCGTCGGTCCCCCCCCCCCCCCCCCCCCCTCCCCCTCCCCCGTAACCTCCCTACCCGCCATCCCGCCCTGCCTGAGTTAGGGTTTGGGGAGTGGCGAGTAGGGGGTGGCGAGTATGGGGGTGGCGGGTGTGTGGTCTCCCCTCCTCCTCTGTCTCCCACTGCTGCAGCTGCCGCTGAGGGGGGTGGGTGTGTGGGAGTCGCTGGAGTCGTGCTAGGGGGTGGGGTGTGAGTGACCCTAGGGGTGCAGTAGGGGGTGTGTGCAAGGGGGGGTGAGACTGTTTGGGGAGCTGAATGAAGGATGCCGCTGTGTCGCTAGCAGCACCTGTATTCCGGGGGCTTCGTCCGGTAGCTCAGTCGTAGCCAGCTGTGCCAGCCGCCCGTGGGTCCGTTGCTCGTCTACCGCTACTTTAGCCGCGGGGCCAGTTACCCCTGTAGTCCGGGGGCTTCGTCCGGTAGCCGCTGTGCCAGTCTGCCTCCTGTTGCCCGTGTGTCTGCAGCTTCATCCGTCGCCTCCTATCTCCTTTCCTCTCACTCTCGCCTCCTCCTCCTCACTTGCCCTCTGCGATAGCCTCTAGCTTTGCTCATAATTCTTAACTTTAAACTATTGCTTCTTGAACTTGTGCTCAGAATGTGTGGTGACATTGTGATCCACCCTGAGCTTGTACTGCTTTGCTTGCTCTGCTGATTACACCCCACTTTGGCTATAGGGGTGTGTCAGAATGTTCTTATCTAGCCTGTAGTGGGGTGCTCTATAGCGAGTACAACCCTGTTAGGGTTTGCTATTTGTATCCCCATTCTTGCTAGTCAAGCCCTCTTCTTTCTTTCTAATTTTGACACTACTCCTCGTCAGACTCGAGCTCCTGGCAGTTGTTGCCAAAGAATCCGTCGGCGATGATGTCGTCGTCTACATCCACTTCCGCCGTTAGCTGGCTCCGCCTGTGCTCCATGGCGAGGTGGTCCTCACTGCCGTCAAGCGCGTTGCTAATGCCGCAGGTGAGGAAGGCGCGCTTGACGAGGTCGGAGGGTACTGCTTTCCAGGCTTGTGAAATCCATCGAAGGACCACTTCTGGGGGGGGCTTCTTCAGATTCCCTGCACCGCAACAGAGACACCCGGGAAAGCCGTGTCAGTGACCAAGGGTGAAAGGGGGATAAGCATGCGTGTTCTAACGGAAACACATCCTCAGCCATCGTCGTCGTCGCCACCAGGTACGCCCTCATGAAACACATCCTCTGCGGTGCCGCCCTGCGCGCCACCTTCCTTAGCCTCGTCGCCGTCAGCACGGCTCGCTTCCTCGTCCTCAGCCACGTCGTCGTCAGCTCCGAGTGCAGATTCGTCCCACGTGGTGCAATCATCGGGCCGGCCCCAACGTGGTCCAAAGTAAGGTGCGCCGGGTACCTCAACATCTTGGGCCTTGTTGCTTTCCGGTTCCTCCAGCCACTCGTCGAACGCAGTCGGGAGCAGGAGCGTGAGCACGGGCGGATCCCCTATGTACTGAGGACATCCCAGAATCGGAGGAGACGGAGGAACAGGAGGAGCAGGATGCGCAGGCGGCAAAGGAGGAGCAAGAGGAGCAGGCGGCGCAGGAGGCGCTGGAGGCTGTGGTGGCTCTGGTGGTTCAGCTGGGACACGGGAGTACCATCCGTCGACGTCGACTACAAAGGCGGGCCTACGCGCGGGCGTCTTCTTGAACAAAAAGTGTGTGCCTGAGAATTCCGCCATGGCTGTCGCAGCCAGGCGGGCGAAAACAAGAATCGGACTACCAAAACTGAATGAATCGAGTGCTGAAATGAAAGATTAGCGGGGACCCCTTCTGAGTTGCGGCTTGGGGTCCTCATCGGGGATAGACGGGTGCCCCCCTGCCTGAACCCGGAGAGGAGGGTATCGCGGTACGAATCTGCTGCGCTGGCAAGGAGATTCCACCCCCTTGTAGATGGTTCGGGTGTAATGTTGCACCCTGGCAGCGCATGACGTTCCTATTGGGCCGCACGCCAGGATGCACGTCATCGCTGGCAGGTGCGTTGCTCCAGGACAGGTTCTGTGCGGTGGGAAATCGAGTCGCGGGAGTTTTCGCCGGAATTTCATGCACGATCCCATGCGCAACGTACACAGTTGTGTTCGCCTTATTGTGGGCTTCACTTTAATACTTCGAAAACCAAAATTGGAATTTGACATTTTATAAGCGCCGGCGCTTATGGCCGTTCCTCAATTACAAGCGCCACCCCTAAAAAATCATTACTTATTATAAGCGCATATGCGCTTATATCCGGGGCCAGACGGTATTACTGATACACATTCAATTCAACTAAACGTCAGCCAAGCTGGTTCCTGGCCTCCAAGCAACCAAATACAGCTGCTCGCACCCACCCCTGCTCCATCAGCTACCGCCGATTTGACATCCCTCTGGCACTGCCAGCTTGCGCCTCCTTGCTCCCTGGCCATCCCACTAGGGTCGCCCATTCTTCGCCTGTCAACCTGCCCCTTCATAGGGGATACGATCAACCTGTAGTTGCCAAGGGAAGGGTCAAGTCACAGCACAAGAAGTGAGATGCAACATAAGATGATAGAGGAAGATGCACCCTCTCCCTTACGTATGGTGCACCCACACTTACCGATCAGAGGATGCATTTATCCCTCTCCCTTACGTATGGTGCACCCACACTTACCGATCTGGCAGGCAACTGATTGCGACGCAGGGGCTAATTTGATATTCCTGAGAGAGGGAGAGGTAAGGATATGGAAGAGAGAATATGAGGACGAGTCACTCCCAAGTATGACAGTCACTCCACTCACGCTACAGCGGCCAACCAAGCTCTTGTGATCAATGAGCGCTGTACCCATGGGGGCTAGAAAAAGAAAGGACCAATCCACACATCACGTGGCGTGCACTGCACCACACGCACACACCTTTTCATGACGGGGTAGGGGCGATAGCCTGTCATTCGAGGGCGCATGATCGTCACGGCCGGCTGCCCTGAGCAGCCCAGGCCGGAGAAGAACACCAGAGCATAGCACATGCCGCCGCCAGCCGCTGCGAGCTTGCTGGCGCCAGCCGCACTGCTAGCGACCTGGAGCTTGGCGTCATTCCACACGACGGTCACCTTGGCGCTGCATGCGGTGATGCCACCACCTCTGCCGGCATGTCAGTGGAGAAGGTGACCTTCTGCTTCTGGGCCTTGGCCTTGCGGTTGCGCCCAGAGTTGCCTTGTAGCTCCAGCGTCGTCCGGAGTAGGGGGCTTGCGCGGAGGGCGGGACGGGGGAAAGCATATGAAAGGAGGTGCGGAGGAATACGCGAGCTCCTGCTGCTTGGCCTTGCGCTTGCGCCCAGGGTTTGGGGCCTGTAGCTCCAGCGTCGCCCGAAGTAGGGTTCCTGAGTGTCCGGGGAGACGGTTGACAGCAGAGAGGAAAGGAAAAGAGCAGTCAAGGGAGGAGTGACGAGATGAAAGCAGCCAAGGAGCTCCATTGTCGTCCGGAGTATGGGGCCTAAGGGGCGGGGAGACAGTTGACGACACGAATGGGGGTTTCAAGGCATTGAGTTGGGGCCGGGATAGGGGAGGTGCGGGAGGAGTGAGGAGACGAAAACAGGTGGTCAACGTTCAGGTGAAATGCCTCCAAGAGTTGCCTCTCAGTATGGCCTCTCAGCGTTGCCTCTCAGTATGGCCTCTCAGCGTTGCCTCTCAGTATGGCCTCTCAGCGTTGCCTCTCAGTATGGCCTCTCAGCGTTGCCTCTCAGTATGGCCTCTCAGCGTTGCCTCTCAGTATGGCCTCTCAGCGTTGCCTCTCAGTATGGCCTCTCAGCGTTGCCTCTCAGTATGGCCTCTCAGCGTTGCCTCTCAGTATGGCCTCTCAGCGTTGCCTCTCAGTATGGCCTCTCAGCGTTGCCTCTCAGTATGGCCTCTCAGCGTTGCCTCTCAGTATGGCCTCTCAGCGTTGCCTCTCAGTATGGCCTCTCAGCGTTGCCTCTCAGTATGGCCTCTCAGCGTTGCCTCTCAGTATGGCCTCTCAGCGTTGCCTCTCAGTATGGCCTCTCAGCGTTGCCTCTCAGTATGGCCTCTCAGCGTTGCCTCTCAGTATGGCCTCTCAGCGTTGCCTCTCAGTATGGCCTCTCAGCGTTGCCTCTCAGTATGGCCTCTCAGCGTTGCCTCTCAGTATGGCCTCTCAGCGCTGCCTCTCAGTATGGCCTCTCAGCGTTGCCTCTCAGTATGGCCTCTCAGCGTTGCCTCTCAGTATGGCCTCTCAGCGTTGCCTCTCAGTATGGCCTCTCAGCGTTGCCTCTCAGTATGGCCTCTCAGCGTTGCCTCTCAGTATGGCCTCTCAGCGTTGCCTCTCAGTATGGCCTCTCAGCGTTGCCTCTCAGTATGGCCTCTCAGCGTTGCCTCTCAGTATGGCCTCTCAGCGTTGCCTCTCAGTATGGCCTCTCAGCGTTGCCTCTCAGTATGGCCTCTCAGCGTTGCCTCTCAGTATGGCCTCTCAGCGTTGCCTCTCAGTATGGCCTCTCAGCGTTGCCTCTCAGTATGGCCTCTCAGCGTTGCCTCTCAGTATGGCCTCTCAGCGTTGCCTCTCAGTATGGCCTCTCAGCGTTGCCTCTCAGTATGGCCTCTCAGCGTTGCCTCTCAGTATGGCCTCTCAGCGTTGCCTCTCAGAGTGGCCCGTGATGCCTGCTGACATGTGTTTGTTTGAAGAAATGAATGGTCTACATTTATTTCATGAGTGCAGCACTCACCAAAGCACAAGTTGTATTCCTGGCTGAAGAGAAAACCAGCGTCGGGGCACACACGCACGGCATCGCCAGCACTGCTCAGAGAGCAAGCAGCACTTTTCAGGCGCCTCACAAGGTGTCTAGCACTCATCAAAGCACATCTTGTAGTCCTGGCTGTAGATAAAACCAGGCGTGGGGCACACGCACTCGGCACCGCTAGCAGCAGTCTGAGAGCAGGAAGAATCGGAGGCACAACTCAGGGCAGTACAAGGGTCTGCAGAGGAAAGAACCGGTGTGGTTGGGAGGTGTAAGTAGGGGAAGGGATTTGGGGATTCTTACAGCCTCATCCACACACACAGAGAGTCAAACACGCACGCGGGATTTTGAGAATTCTCAAAAACCAGCTCATTTGGGAAGACTTACACACTTATCTACACACACACAGTTAAACACGCACGCGGGACCGCTAGCAGCGGTCAGAGAGCAGGAAGGACCAGAGCCACAATCAAGGGCAGCACACGGGTCTGCAGAGGGAAAATTGGGTGGTTACAAGGTGTAAGCAGGGACATAGGCTTAGACAAATGGAACTGTCACACACTGTACTGCAGACGAGATGTGGAGTGTTCAGCACATGGGTCTGCAAGAGAGTTTATGGATGGGAAGTAGGGGAAGGGGCTTCAACGAGTTGAACTCTTGCCTTCACACACACACTCACCCTCACACGCACACTCACCCGCACATGCACACTCACCCGCACACGCACACTCACCCTCACACACACACTCACCCTCACATATACACTCATCCTCACACACACACTCACCCCTCGGGAGTTTATAGGTGGGTGCGAGGAAGCACACTCCCAGCATTCGCCCACACTCCCAGCATTCGCCCACACTCCCAGCACTATCCCACACTCCCAGCACTCGCCCACACTCCCAGCACTCACCCACACTCCCAGCACTCGCCCACACTCCCAGCACTCACCCACACTCCCAGCACTCGCCCACACTCCCAGCACTCGCCCACACCCCCAGCACTGTACAGCGCCCGCTCTCACCACCATTGCATGTGTTGTTGAGTTGATTGAAGGTAGAAGAACCATCCAAGCACTGGCACACAGCAGTGCCATCAGCACCCACAATGCACTCAGCCACACTCCATCCACCACTCACCACCATTGCATGTGTTGTCAAGTTGATTAAAGGTAGAAGAACCATCTAAGCACCAGCACACAGCAGTGCCATCAGCACCCACAATGCACTCAACCACACTCCACCACTCACCACCATTGCATGTGTTGTCAAGTTGATTGAAGGTAGAAGAACCATCCAAGCACCGGCACACAGCAGTGCCATCAGCACGCACAACGCACTCAACCACACTCCACCACTCACCACCATTGCATGTGTTGTCAAGTTGATTGAAGGTAGAACGATCATCTAGGCACCAGCACACAGCAGCGCCATAAATATTCATAATGCAATGAACATCGGTCCCACAATCCTTGTTACCACACACGTCTGCACGGGAAATCAAGGGTTGTTCCAAGGTAAAGCAGGGAAAAGGGTAACAAGAGTGAGGACTTTTTTAATATCGTTGCCCTCACCCTCACTCCAGCTAGCTCTCACCCACACTCCAGGCATCGTCAGCTTTCAACGCCAGCTTTCAACGCCAGCTTTCAACGTCAGCTTTCAACGCCAGCTTTCAACGCCAGCTTTCAACGCCAGCTTTCAACGCCAGCTTTCAACGCCAACTTTCAACGTCAGCTTTCAACGTCAGCTTTCAAGAGCGAAGAATTTCCAGGCACTGCCACTTGGGGGTGCCATAGCTCTCCAGGACGGGAAGCAAGAGGGTGGGAAGCAAGAGGGAGGGAAGCAGGAGGGAGGGATGCAAGAGGAGTTGGGTGCCATGGCACTGCCAGTGGTGTGTGGTAGTCAGCCTATTGCCAGTGGTGTGTGGCAGTCAGCCTATTGCCAGTGGTGTGTGGCAGTCAGCCTATTGCCAGTGGTGTGTGGTAGTCAGCCTATTGCTAGTGGTGTGTGGCAGTCAGCCTACTGCCAGTGGTGTGTGGCAGTCAGCCTATTGCCAGTGGTGTGTGGCAGTCAGCCTATTGCCAGTGGTGTGTGGCAGTCAACCTATTGCCAGTGGTGTGTGGTAGTCAGCCTATTGCCAGTGGTGTGTGGCAGTCAGCCTATTGCCAGTGGTGTGTGGCAGCCAGCCTATTGCCTGTGGTGTGTGGCAGTCAGCCTATTGCCTGTGGTGTGTGGCAGTCAGCCTATTGCCAGTGGTGTGTGGCAGTCAGCCTATTGCCAGTGGTGTGTGGCAGTCAGCCTATTGCCAGTGGTGTGTGGCAGTCAGCCTATTGCCAGTGGTGTGTGGCAGTCAGCCTATTGCCAGTGGTGTGTGGCAGTCAGCCTATTGCCAGTGGTGTGTGGCAGTCAGCCTATTGCCAGTGGTGTGTGGTAGTCAGCCTATTGCCGGTGGTGTGTGGCAGTCAGCCTATTGCCAGTGGTGTGTGGCAGTCAGCCTATTGCCAGTGGTGTGTGGCAGTCAGCCTATTGCCTGTGGTGTGTGGCAGTCAGCCTATTGCCAGTGGTGTGTGGAAGTCAGCCTATTGCCAGTGGTGTGTGGCAGTCAGCCTATTGCCAGTGGTGTGTGGCAGTCAGCCTATTGCCAGTGGTGTGTGACAGTCAGCCTATTGCCAGTGGTGTGTGGCAGTCAGCCTATTGCCAGTGGTGTGTGGCAGTCAGCCTATTGCCAGTGGTGTGTGGCAGTCAGCCTATTGCCAGTGGTGTGTGGTAGTCAGCCTATTGCCGGTGGTGTGTGGCAGTCAGCCTATTGCCAGTGGTGTGTGGCAGTCAGCCTATTGCCAGTGGTGTGTGGCAGTCAGCCTATTGCCAGTGGTGTGTGGCAGTCAGCCTATTGCCAGTGGTGTGTGGCAGTCAGCCTATTGCCAGTGGTGTGTGGCAGTCAGCCTATTGCCAGTGGTGTGTGGCAGTCAGCCTATTGCCGGTGGTGTGTGGCAGTCAGCCTATTGCCGGTGGTGTGTGGCAGTCAGCCTATTGCCAGTGGTGTGTGGCAGTCAGCCTATTGCCAGTGGTGTGTGGCAGTCAGCCTATTGCCAGTGGTGTGTGGCAGTCAGCCTATTGCCAGTGGTGTGTGGCAGTTAGCCTATTGTCAGTGGTGTGTGGCAGTCAGCCTATTGCCAGCGGTGTGTGGCAGTCAGCCTATTGCCAGTGGTGTGTGGCAGTCAGCCTATTGCCAGCGGTGTGTGGCAGTCAGCCTATTGCCAGTGGTGTGTGGCAGTCAGCCTATTGCCAGTGGTGTGTGGCACTCAGCCTACTGCCACTGGTGTGTGGCAGTCAGCCTACTGCCACTGGTGTGTGGGAGTCAGCCTACTGCCACTGGTGTGTGGCAGTCAGCCTACTGCCACTGGTGTGTGGCAGTCAGCCTACTGCCACTGGTGTGTGGCAGTCAGCCTACGAGACTCAAAAGTCCCCTCACTGCCAGTGGTGTGTGAGGGTCAGCCTACTAGGCTGCCTGCCAGTAGTACTCACCATCACCATCGGCCCTGGCGTGGGCCGCGAGGAGGCTAATGGCAACGAGACCCGCGACGAGTGAGGCGAGGCCACGCCCGTACAGCCGCCCGAAGCGCCGGTCCATGATCACGCAAGGAGACGAGCCGGAGATGAACAGAGGAGATGATGGAGACAGTAGAACGCTCGCGCCGCTTTTGTCAAGCAGGTTTCAAGTTGCTTTTGGGCCGACCCGAAAATGACGAGGAGATGGGACAGTCAAACGCTCGAGTCGAGTCGAGCTGATGCCACTGCCCGCAACGAGGAGAAGGTTTCACGTGAGAAGGAGCTGAACCGCCAGCGTGACTCGCGGCGCTCGTAGTCGTGACGCGGTGAGGTTGGGTGGGACGTCGAAGGTGCCGCGACTCAAAAGGGAGGAGATGAGATGGAGAGGCACGCAATAGGCGAACAACGGAGTGTGAGAATATGATTGCGACCTTGAAAGCAGGCGTGGATTTATGTGTCGAGAGTAAGTGATCAATCGCTCTGATCGATCTATTGGTATTCAAGCTAGAGTGGAAACAATCTTGCGGACTTGGCGCGCATCATGTAACGTGTTCCGTCGCGGAGAAGAGAGGGGGGGGAGATACGGAGGGAGGCGCGGCAGGACGCGCGGCAGGGAGGGAGGGGGATCATCATCGCCGTGATGATCGCACGACACCGAGACTAGGAAATGTGCCGCATTGCGCGACCGCGATCTGGTTGCGGAGTCCGAGACAGCACATCAAGTGATAACGGCCAGTAAGCGGAAGGAACCCCGCATTACGAGGAATGGATGGACGAGGCGGCGGCGATGACGGCGATGACGGGAGGAACTCGGTAGGGAGGGATGGGCGAGGCGGCTATGCGAACGCGTTAAATTGGTCATTTCTATTGGTCGAGGCGCGATTCAAACTCCGCGACGGGGTAATAGGCGCTCTACTAGTAGTTGGAGAGTAATGCGCTCCCGCACACCAGCAGGTTGAGATAAGCACGGGACTTGCGGGAGTGATTGCCATTGCAGTCGAGCGATTGCTCGGACGCGTTTGACAACCACAATGAGGGGATATAGTGTAGTTTCAGGCAACAATCGTTCTTTACTCCAACTAATCTATGTTGGTACTTCTACAAGAATTAGAGACCGGTATTTTTTTTACTATCTCTTGTTGTATTGTTAGAAGGATCCAAAAGACTTCATCTCAGCTCAACAACAAAAAGTTTTACATCTCAACAACGCATCCTAGGGATAATCTTCACCACTCTTAAAGTAGGTTAGGAAGTAGAGTCGAGTGGATTGTGTCGAGTAAGAGGGAGCAACAATATACAAGAGTTAACCTAGAAAGTGTTGTACCCTTCAAAAGGCAACTCATTTTAGCCTTGCAAAACTAAATAAATAAAATACATGTGTGCAACACCTCAATAGGCTAAGTGATGGGCATCAAGAATGGGTAAGAGACACAAATGGTCAAACGATCGGTCAAGACAACCAACAAGGCAATGCAAGCAACTAAGGGTGGTACAACCAGCCAGCCTCTGTGACAAAGAGCCACAAGGCCAGTCAAGAGTTCATACACGTACACGCATGCACACACGTACGCACACGCGCACACACACACGCACGCGCGCGCGCACACACATAGACACACACACACACATACACACACACATACACATACACACACACACACGCACGCACGCACGCACACACACACATACAGACACATACACAGACACACACACACATACACACACACACACACACAGAGTAAATTGCGGCTTCGCGAGTAAATTGTGTTCACGACGAGCGACTCGGTCCATGGCCGCTTGCCCACTCACGGGAACTCGTCGAGCTTCCCGCGCAACGCGGGTACGTCGTTTATTGCGTTGGGCTTATGCCGGCCGTCGAACAGCGCCGCCGCCTTGCCCTCGTCGCCATCGCCGCCGTCGCCCTCGCGCTCTTTACCATACTCCTCGCCTCTGAATATTTCCTCCCCATCTTCCCTAGCTTATCTATTGTCTATCGCCTATGCTTCTGCTCCATCCATGCTCGCCGCTACCGAGGGTGTTGATTTTGACGAGCAACGGAGTGGTAACGGTTGGGCTGACGAAGCAATCCCCCAGAAGAGCAAAGAGGGGTACAAGAAAGAGACGGTAAGGACGCGGTAAAAGTGCAAATATCGCCAGGTCGTGAGCGAGAATCGATCCCGACAATCGATTGGTCGGGTCGTTTGGCGAAACGATGTGCATACTAGGTTGTAGCGATCGCACGTGAGTTTAGTCGTTGATGTTCTACCACCAAGATTGTGGACCTGCCTGCGACGCGGGCACAGTAAAACTAGAGGTCGCACAAGCACAGCTTCGACGGTCACAGCCCACAGGGCAACTCATTTCTGGTTTGTTCTCAGGTTGGGCGACTCAAAGTTCGCACTCTGCGAAAAATCAGCAAGTCGCAGGCATCTGTCAAGAAACGCTAGCAGAAAGTTAGAAACAGAAAGAGGGGTTGCACTAGTAGCAGATAGGATACATATAGCCAAACCCTTATTTGGGCTATACTCACTAAAGATTACCCCACTGCAGACTAGACAATTATAGCATTCTGACACACCCCCATAGGCAAAGTGGGGTATGATCAGCACAGCAAGCAGTCGCATAAGAAGTTCACAAGCACAAGCAAAGCTAGAGGCAGTCACAGAAGGCAAGTGAGGAGGAGGAGGGACTGTGAGAGGAGTGGAGATAGGAGGCGACGGGTGAAGCCGCAGACACACGGGCAACAGGAGCGGCGCGCACGGTGGCTACCGGAGCAAGGGCCCCGGACTACAGGAGTAACTAGCTCCGCGGCTAAGACGAGCGACAAGAGCAACGGACCCATGGGCAACTGGCGCAGCAGGCTCGCTGGGCTACCGGAGCAAGGGCCTCGGACTACTGGCGCTGCTGGCGTTACGACGGCTACCTCCGCTCAACCTCCCCCAACTGTCCCACACCCCTTTCCCACACCCCTTGCTGCACCCCTAGCTCCACTCCCACAACACCCCCCTAGCGCCACTCCCTCGGCTCCCACACACCCACCCCCCTCAACGGCAGCTGCAGCAGTGGGAGATGGAGGAGGACGAGGAGGAGCAGGGGACGGCTCACACACCCGCCACCCCCATACCCCCAACGCAGGCGGCGCGCATGCGGCGCGGGGCAGATACGCGGGCAGCAGCTGGGGCGCTGCGACGGGCGACAGGCAAGGCGGCGCGCGGGCCCCCAGGGCGCCGCGACGGGCGACGGGAGGGGGCGACGCACGGGCCCCCAGGGCGCCGCGACGGGCGACGGGCATGGCGGCGCGCGGGCCCCCGAGGCGCCACGACGGGCGATGGGAGGGGGCGGCGCGCGGGCCCCCGAGGCGCCACGACGGGCGATGGGAGGGGGCGGCGCGCGGGCCCCCGGGACGTCGCGACGGGCGACGGCAGAGGACAGCGTGCGGGCCCCCGGGGCGCCTCAACGGGCGACGGGAAGAGGGGCGGCGCGCGGGCCCGTGGGGTACCGTGACGGGCGACGAAATCGCCGCACACACCCGGGGCGCGCGGCGGGCAAGAAACCGCCACGCGCCCCGAGCGCGTGGCGGGCAGAAAACCGCCGCGCGCTACGCCGCGTGCGCCGGGCGCGTGGCAGATTGAAAACGTCGCGCGCCCCGGGCGCGCGTCAGGCAGGACAACAGCGGAAGCAGGTGGGCCCACAGGCCAGGAGCATTCTCGCTCTGATAGCATGACGAGAAACACTAGCAGAAAGTTAGAAACAGAAAGAGGGGTTGCACTAGCACCAGATAGTATAGATATAGTAAACCCTAATTTGGGCTATACTCACTATAAAGTACCACACAGCAGACTAGACAATTATAGCATTCTGACAGCATCCGAATCAATCGGGCTTGGTGCGCTCGGTTGGTGGGCATCAGATGCCCATCACAATCAGCGGGCGATCAGTAAACAGTCGCAATCTCTCGCTGTTCAGCTTTTTTTGGCCAAAATCCGTACGGTAGCAGGGTTATAAGACAGTAAATAGGGTAACCAATCCGCACATCGATCACGACCAACAATCGATCGTCTACTTTTACCGCGTCATGAGAGGGTTTTGAAGGTCAGGAATTGGGCGTGCAACAAGGTTTGTTTGGATGAACAAAGATTGTACACAATCGTTTTTAAGCGTTTAACCTTGTTATGTGGAAGTGTTTTTTTCTTGTACCCGCTGTTAGCTTCCTTCGAAGTGGACTACTGCTTCTCGTGTTCGAAATATCGCTCTTCTGGTTTTCGCGTGGATCTCATCAACAGGCCAGTTTCGCCAACAGCGTCGCCACCAGCATTGCCTTTGCCTTCAATCTCGCAGAACTCCACACTCCCATTCATCCCCACACCTTAGTGTTCTCAGATCCCTGAATCTGCCTAGCTCGAAACACTGATCTACAGCCACCCTGCTATCTTCGCACCTCCATCCCTCGGTGCCGATACCGTACTCACGTGCTCGGATCCGCCTCTGTCTTCGCGCGTCGCCCCCTCCGCCCGCCGGCTATCTGCCGCATCTGCGCGAGCTTTAGATCGATCACGGAGAACAATCCCGTCCGTCCACTCGCCCGCACGCGCACGGCTTCTTGATCGTCACGCCGCCTCTTAATTCCGCCACCGATCAGTCACGATGCAGGGCCCCGTGCTCGTTCTAAGTACGTCTTAACGTTCTTTCTTGTCAGCAGCATTGCAGGGAACGCTATGGATCCGTTTGCCTGCTCGATCTGCCCCGTAGATTCCACATTTAGAGCAAAGGCGGGTGAATCTGAACGCGGCTCGGCAGTGAGCGGCGGCGAGGCGTAAGCCCGCTCCGAGCCACGCAGCGCTCGAGAGCCGTCAAATTCGAGCATTACAGTCGTCCTTCGCTTTGTCCTTTGACATCTGCGTCCTGCCCGCACTCGACAAGTCTTAGGCCGTGCTGCGTTGACGCGCGTACGATGCGAGACCAGTGGATCGATATTGAGCCCTGGATGGCATGGCGGCCCGTGCCCGGTCGATCATCGCAGATTTGCATGCATCCACAGCTTTTGTTAAAGTCACGTTTGAGACATGCGCGAGGAAGCTGTGCATCCCAAGAGTGATTCCAATACAGGCATGCACATCTTCGTCTCGCTCGCCGTGGGACCAACCAAGAGAAGAGAAGACGTTTCAGGGACGGAAAGCGGTTTGGGAGCGGGGATTCTAGGATGCGGTGAAGATCAGATTGCGTAGAGTCGGGCGTGCATACCGATCTAAAAAACACTTAATTACGGTGTATCTAAGGATCCCTCTCCTCAATGTCCCTCGCTCCACTCCCTTGGCCACATGCGACATGCGGCATGCGTCTCACCTTCCCTCCGTGCATTCTCTTCCGCCTTTCTCGCCTTACCCCGTCCCCGTCCCCGTCCCCGTCCCCGTCCCCGTCCCTGTCCCAGATGCGAACACGAAGCGCGAGTCGGGTCGCAAGGCGCAGCTCGGCAACATCGCGGCGGCCAAGGTGAGTTGTCAGTCGCGAGACGCGAGACGAGAGGCCCGAGGCGCGAGGCGTGAGATGCGAGAAGCAGCGATCTCGTTTCTGAGGCGTTTGGCTTCTACGCCGCGAGTCGGATCGCTGCGGCCACGATGAGATCCGGGGCGCAGGGGTTTGGCTTTGGGGTTGAATGGACGGTCGCGCGTTGGGGATTAGCCGCTCTATACGCAGCGAGCTTCGGAATGTCGCAGCGGGGTGATGGGTGGTGTGCAGCGGTTGTGATGGGGAGGGGGTGCGGAGTAACGATCCTCCCCTTCACCTGCCACCCTCCCCTTTTCCCCTGTCTTTGCACCCCTCGCGTGCGCAGGCAGTGGCGGACATCATTCGCACCACGCTAGGCCCGCGCTCCATGCTCTCCCCGTTCACCTCTCTACCTCCGCACCCTCTCTCCCGCGCAGGCAGTGGCGGACATCATTCGTACCACGCTAGGTCCGCGCTCCATGCTCAAGATGCTGCTCGACGCCACAGGAGGTGAGCGGGACGCCACAGGAGGTGAGCGGGACGCCACAGGAGGAAGTTATCCCGTGCATGATGTACCAGCTTCGTCGGGGAAACAAAAGGCCTGGAAGAGTCTTCCTGCTTGCTGTTTCCTGCGCTCCCATGATGTTTTCGTCAACTGTCGAGCTCCTGTCAATCATTCCTGTTCCTGCCATGCCATGTCATGCCATGCCGTGTGAGTCATTCACAATACTTCCATGCCAATGCATGCTGTGCGTGCGATGAATCTTTCACACCATTCTCAATCCATGCCGTGCTGTGCCGTGCCATGCCATGCCGTGCCGTGCCGTGCCGTGCCGTGCCATGCCATGCCATGCCATGCCATGCAGGTATCGTGCTGACCAACGATGGCAATGCCATTCTGAGAGAAATCGACGTCACGCACCCAGCTGCCAAGGTGAGGAACTGTGCCATGTGTGGCTTTAAGGGCAAGGAGTGTGGGTGGAGTGGAGGTGTGATAGGGAGGGACTCCCTACTGCTGCAGTGCTGCAGGAAGTGCTCAGTAGCGCAGATAGGGTTGAGGGTTAGCAGGGTTGAGGGTTTAAGGTTGGGATTGAGAGGTGTGAGCGTTGAGGCCCTGGAATTCACTTAAACCACGTGACGGTCAGGAAGTGGGCGTCAAGGCACCCACCGGACTCGCCTTAGCGGCATCCACTCCACAGCCGTCAACCTTCCTGCCTGCCCTGCTCCGCCTTGCTCCCTGCTACTTGCTCTTTGCGCTTTGCATCACCTCCTCATGCCCGCATCACCTCCTCATACTCGTATGTTTTCCTCATGGCGCCGGGCTTGCGTGCGTGGACATGCACCTGATGCTCTCTGTGCCTCTGCTTCTGCTTGCCATGCACTCTTGCTGCTGCCCTGTGCATGTGTGTCATGTCACGGGTGCGCGTGGCAGTCAATGATCGAGTTGAGTCGCACACAGGACGAGGAGGTGGGCGACGGCACCACCTCCGTCATCATCCTCGGTGGGTTCCCCTCCCCTCCCATCCCCTCCCCTCCCCTCTTTTACCCTCCCCTCCTCTCCCCTCCCCTCCTCTCTCCTCCCCTCCGCTTCCTCTCCTCTCTCCTCCCCCCTAACGAGATGCATCTCTTCCCACGCATCAACCACTCGGTGCGTTTCCCTCGCCAGACACATTCCCTCCCCTCCCTGCGCCTTACCCGTGCTATTCACTTCACTTCACTCTGCAAGCCCGCTCAGCCGCCCCAGACTTGCCCGCTCTCCTCACCTATTCACTCTTTCCTTCCCTCCGTTTCTTTGATGCCCCGCATGCCACGTGTCACCACTGTGTGCTGCCAGCTGGCGAGATGCTCCACGTGGCAGAGCCCTTCTTGGAGAAAGGCTTTCACCCCACCGTCATCTGCAGAGGTGCGCTCTCAGGGGCCAGCCATTGTGATTGATTCCTGTGGGTCAGGGTGCGTCCAGTGGTCAGGGCGCGCCCAGTGGTCAGGGCGCGCCCAGTGGTGAGGGCGCGCTCAGTGGTGAGGGCGCGCTCAGTGGTCAGGGCGCACCCAGTGGTGAGGTCAAGGTCGCGGGCACAGCTTTACAAGATGATGATTTTCTTTCTTCATTCTTACACTCTCCACCACCATCTCAACTCCACGCCCTCTCCTCATCTCTCCACCTTTGCCTTTCCCATCTTCCGCCCCCTCTCCCCCGATTCACCTACCATCGTGCCCACCAGCGTACACCAAGGCGCTGGATGATGCCATAGCGGTGATCGACAAGGTCCCCCCCTCCCTGTCCGCTTGATTACCACATCACCCAATCACGCCCGGTTCCCCAATGCCCCCATGTGCCCACCAGCGTACACCAAGGCGTTGGACGATGCGATAGCGGTGATTGACAAGGTGGCATTCAAGATCGACGTCAACAACAGTGAGACAAGACTGCCCTCCTCTCCCCTTCCTCCCTGCGTCCTGCACACCTCTCTCTCATCGCTCGCCTTTCTGACTTGCCTCTCCCGCTCTGCCTGCTCGTGCCTCTCACCTCACCCTTGTTTTGCACGATCACTCTTGCCCTCTATTGCCTCCATGCCTTCATGCGTTCCTTCACCTGCCACACTCTGTTGCCTACCCAACTCCTCCATATATACCCCGTCCGCTTGTGTGCCGTCTGTGGTGACCTGTGCGTTCCCGTGCTTCGCCATGCCTCGCTCCGCACAGGGAAGCAGATGCTGAGCATACTGCAGAGCTGCATTGGCACCAACCAAGTTCACCACCTGTCCCATTCATTCATCCCCGTCCCCTTGTCCCCCATCCGTGCGTCCCTGTCCTCCCCTGTGTTTTCCCGTGCGTCACCATTTCTCGCCCGTCACAGGGAAGCAGATGCTGAGCATACTGCAGAGCTGCATTGGCACCAAGTTCACCACCCGCTTTGGCTCCCTCATGGCTGTACGTCCCGCTCACGGCCATGCGTCCTCTTAGAGTACAGCATATGATGCTATAGTCGCCGCTCCTCGTCCTTTCCTCATTGCTCACAGTGTGTGCTTTTGTTTTCCTAGACGCCTTGGAAATCTGGCCCTTTTATTTCCTCTCCTCACTTGGCCGATAGCACTTGCTGCTCAATCCCTGCCCTTTCTCACACCCCCCTCCTCCACTTTCCCTTCCCCTCCCTGCCCCGCCCACTTTCCTTCCCCCACTCGTCGTCGCCATCACCCCCTTGCTGTTCCCAGGACCTGGCCCTGGACGCGGTGACAAACAGTGGTGGCGGTGGAGGGGGGAGGCTATTGCTAGCTGCCTGCTAAATCCCGTCCCTCCCCCAACTTGCCTTGGCCTTCCTGTCCCCTCTCCGTTCTTCCACCCCTCTCCCTCTTACCCAGGAGCTAGCCCTGGATGCGGTGACAACAGTGGCGGTGGAGGTGGGCGGGCGCAAGGAGATTGACATCAAGCAGTACGCCAAGGTGGAGAAGAGAAGCTGCTGGGCTGCTCACCACATGGCCCCACCATCCCTCCCCATCCCCACGTGCCCTTTCCCCCATCCCCTTCCCCACCCGGGTTTGTCCTTTCCCCCCCCATCCCCTTCCCCACCTGGGCTTGTCCTCTCCGCCCCTGCTCTCTCCAGGAACTAGCGCTAGATGCGGTGACAACAGTGGCGGTGGAGGTGGGCGGGCGCAAGGAGATTGACATCAAGCAGTACGCCAAGGTGGAGAAGGTGCCGGGCGGTCGGATAGAGGACAGCGCGGTGCTGCGCGGTGTGATGTTCAACAAGGACGTGGTGGCCCCTGGCAAGATGCGGCGGCGCATTGAGAACCCGCGGGTGGTGCTGCTGGACTCGCCGCTGGAGTACAAGAAGGGCGAGAACCAGACGAATGTTGAACTCTTGAAGGAGGAGGACTGGTGAGTGAAAGGGGAGGTGGGGCAGCAACATGAGTTCCCGCAGGTGGTGCTGCTGGACTCTCCTCTGGAGTACAAGAAGGGCGAGAACCAGACCAACGTGGAGCTGCTCAAAGAGGACTGGTGAGTGGCACGAGGGAAGGGGCCAAGGGAAAGAGGGAGAGGGTAGGGTTGGAGGGGCAGCAACAAGTGGTGCTGCTGGACTCGCCTCTGGAGTACAAGAAGGGCGACAACCAGACGAATGTTGAACTCTTGAAGGAGGAGGACTGGTGAGTGAAAGAGGATGGGGTGGAGGGGAGGGGGGGCAGCTACATGAGAACCTGCGCGTGGTGCTGCTGGACTCGCCCCTGGAGCACAAGAAAGGGGAGAACCAGACGCACGTGGAGCTGCTGAAAGAAGAGGTCTGGTGAGCGGGCAGGAAGGGGGTGGTGGGGGAGAGGGAGAGGGTGGGGAGAGGAGGGGTGGTCCAGCATCAGTTAGTCGTGCTGCTGGACTCGCCCCTGGAGTACAAGAAGGGCGAGAACCAGACGAACGTGGAGCTGCTGAAAGAAGAGGACTGGTGAGTGGGCAGGAAAGGAGGGAGCGAGAGGGAGGAGATAGCGGGCTTGTATCGCCACCTCCTCTCCCACACGCCCTTACTGCCCCTCTTGTCGCTTATGCTTGCCTTGCCCTCTATACCATCTCTTTTCATGTGCCAGGGAGCAGTTGTTGAAGATGGAGGAGGAGTACATAGCAGGCCTGTGTCGCCACCTCCTCTCCCACACGCCCTCACTGCCCCTCGTGTGCTCTGTACTTGCCCTCTCTACCACCGCTTTTCCACATGGCAGGGAGCAGCTGTTGAAGATGGAGGAGGAGTACATAGCGGGTCTGTGTCGCCACATAGCAGCATTCAAGCCCGACCTCGTCATCACGGAGAAGGGCCTCAGCGACCTTGCAGCACACTACCTCTCCAAGTAGGTGCCTTGCTCCTTGCTCTTGCAGCACACTACCTCTCCAAGTCAGTGCTCTAGCTATCACTTCACCTGTAGCTTCACTTACACTCCTGAACCCCAAGCCCGCGTATCCCGTCGTGGCCTTCAAGCCCGACCTCGTCATTTCGGTGAAGGGCCTCAGCGACCTTGCCGCGCACTACCTCTCCAAGTCAGTGCTTTGCTCTGCTCTGCTTCCACTCTTGATCTTGAATCTTCTCTCTCCATTGCCGCTGCTGCTGCCGGGGTCTCTGGCAGCGCTGGTTATTCCATCCCACGTCCCTCTCTCCTGTCTCGTCTTTCCATCTCTCGCCTTCTGTTTTCAAACGTTACCTACCTTCCCCTCCCCTCTCTCCCTCATCCCCCTTCCCCTCTCAAACAGAGCGGGCATCACAGCCATTCGTCGGCTACGCAACACCGAGTGGAGGAGCTGCAGGAGAGCCACGTGGGGACAGGCGCAGGGCTGTTTGAATTCAAATGGCACCCGTGCTTGTCTGCTCCTCCTCCCCTGCTCCATCCCTCCTCCAACCCTCACCTTATGGCGTCCAAACAAAAGTCGCCTTCCTAATTCCCCCTCTCCCCCATCCCCCCTTTTCCCCACCCAGAGCGGGCATCGCAGCCATCAGGAGGCTGCGCAAGACCGATAACAACCACATAGCTCGTGCGATGGGCGCGACGATTGTGAACCGGGTGGAGGAGCTGCAGGAGAGCGACGTGGGGACGGGCGCGGGGCTGTTTGAGGTGCGCAAGATGGGCACCCGTGCTCCTCTGTTTCCCCCTTTCTCCAACACCTACCTTTCCCTCCCGCTTCCCTCCACTCCACCCAGAGCCGGCATCGCAGCCATCAGGAGGCTCCGTAAAACTGACAACAACCGCATCGCCCGTGCAGTGGGGGCTACAATTGTGAACCGAGTGGAGGAGCTGCAGGAGAGCGACGTGGGGACGGGCGCGGGGTTGTTTGAGGTGCGCAAGATCGGCGACGAGTTCTTCGCGTTCCTCGTGGAGTGCAAAGAGCCCAAGGCGTGCACTGTGCTGCTGCGCGGGGCCAGCAAGGATATCCTGAATGAGATGGAAAGAAACCTGCAGGTGAGGGATCTGCCGGTGAGGAGGTGTGGGAATGGGTGGAGTGGGGTGAAGGGAATGCAGTTGTTGCAAGGGAAGGGAAGGTGCAAGCAGCCCAAGGCGTGCCCCGTGCTGCTCTGGGGGGCGAGCCGTGGAGGGGCCCGTGCCGTGGAGGGGCAGTCCACCAAAGGGGCACCTTTTGTGTGCGTGCATACACCGCCACACACTGCCACACAGCAGCACACCTCACCACACCACACCACACCACACCACGTCCTGCTCACTCTCCTCTCCCCCCTCCTCACCCTCCAGGACGCCATGGGAGTGGCGCGCAATGTGGTGGTGGAGTGGACCCTCGCCTTGTACCAGGGGGCGGTGGTGGTACCTGTTTATGTGCCTGTGCTGCACACACCACACGTCATCACACCATGTTCCCATTCGTTGCCTCTGCCCATCCCTACCCCTCAGGACGCCATGGGAGTGGCACGCAATGTGGTGGTGGACCCTCGCCTTGTGCCAAGGGAGAAGGGGGAGGGGGACTCCTGCACACCACACACCACCACATTTCACCGCCACACCATCTCCCTCTCCTTCTCTTCCCCACCCCCCAGGACGCCATGGGAGTGGCGCGCAATGTGGTGGTGGACCCTCGCCTCGTGCCGGGAGGTGGTGCCGTGGAGATGACTGTGTCGGCTGCTCTCAAGGACAAGGCCGGCACTGTGGCAGGCATTGAGCAGGTGCGTGGATAGTGCCGGCTAGGCTAGCCAGGCATTTATACTCCGTGGCAGGCATTGAGCAGGTGAGAGGGCATTGAGCAGGTGAGAGGGCATTGAGCAGGTGAGAGGGCATTGAGCAGGTGAGAGGGCATTGAGCAGGTGAGAGGGCATTGAGCAGGTGAGAGGGCATTGAGCAGGTGAGAGGGCATTGAGCAGGTGAGAGGGCATTGAGCAGGTGAGAGGGCATTGAGCAGGTGAGAGGGCATTGAGCAGGTGAGAGGGCATTGAGCAGGTGAGAGGGCATTGAGCAGGTGAGAGGGCATTGAGCAGGTGAGAGGGCATTGAGCAGGTGAGAGGGCATGACGGTGAGCTGGCAGTGAAGATGACCTGATGAGCGTGAAGATGACCTGATGAGCGTGAAGATGACCTGATGAGCGTGCCGTGCCGGCCACCCTCAAGGACAAGGCTGGCTGTCACCATGCATGCAGAGATGACTTTTGAGTCGACTCAAAAGGCTGGCTGTCACCACGCATGCAGGACATCGAAGCATGTGGGCACTTGGAGGAACGAAGCATCGTCCAAGCATTCACTCAAGCAAGCCATCAACGCTGCCTCTACTGCCGTTTTCTCGTTCTCATTTTGCCCCCCCTCATCGCCCCCCTCTGCTTCCCGCCTCTGCTCCCCTCTCGTCTCCCCCCCTTCCCCCCTTCCCCCCTCTGCTCCCCCCTCTGCTCCCCCCTCTGCTCCCCCCTCTTCTCCCCCCTTCAGTGGCCATACCGGGCGGTGGCATCGGCCTTTGAGGTCATCCCGCGCACACTGGCGCAGAACTGTGGAGTGAGCGTCATTCGCACCGTCACTGCTCTGCAGGCCAAGGTGGGCGGCAGGGCGAGGTGGGCGGCAGGGCAAGGTGGGTGGCAGGGCGAGGTGGGCGACAGGGCAAGTTCGGCGTCAGGGCAAGGTGGGCGGCAGGGCGAGGTGGGCGGCAGGGCAAGGTGGGCGGCAGGGCAAGGTGGGCGGCAGGGCAAGGTGGGCGGCTGGGCAAGGTGGGCGGCAGGGCAAGGTGGGCGGCAGGCCAAGGTGGGCGGCAGGGCAAGGTGGGCGGCAGAGCAAGGTGGGCGGCAGGGCAAGGTGGGCGGCAGGGCAAGGTGGGCGGCAGGGCAAGGTGGGCAGCAGGGCAAGGTGGGCGGCAGGGCAAGGCTTAGTTGGAGTATACGCTCTGAACATTTTGCGTATTGCGTTTATACGCGCTAAAAAAACGACCGCTGCGTTTTTGGTTTGGAAACGCTGAAAAACGCTCGGGCAGACCGGGAAAAAAAAATCAAAATTTGAGTTTCGTTTAGCGACATGGCGATTCAAGTGTGGGGTTTCGCACGTCGCGAGTGCAACCCCAAATTCGAAATTTGAAACCAAGTCGCACCAAACCCACCCTTTACCATTGCAAACCCCCTTGTACCCCGTTCACTTCCAACCTCTTCAAATACAATGTTGAGGTGAGTCCCCCTCAACCCACCCACCATTCCTACCATAAATGTCGTGTCTGCCCTATGTTTTGGGTCTAGTGGTGTAGGCAAAATGTTGTGTGCATGTAACCTGCCCTATAATAAAAAGGGGAAGGGAGGTGATCGTGCCTTGCACCACCCCCTTCCCCACATCTTAACCCAAAAAAATTCACCTGCCCGAAACATTTTTTACCCCTGCCCGGCCCTGCGTTTTCACTGCGTATTAGACCCCTCCAAAGCTGCGTACTGCGTTTATACGCTAGTGTTTATATGCTAGCGTATAAAACGCGAAACGCGTATACTCCAACTAAGGGGCAAGGTGGGCGGCAGGGCAAGGTGGGCGGCAGGGCAAGGTGGGCGGCAGGGCAAGGTGGGGCTGCTTGCCTCATGAGCAGCGCCTGTGAGACTGGCGTCGTCATTGTGCTTGCCATGCACCACCATGCCCCACCACGTGCCTGTGAGACTGGCACCACCATGCCCCACCACGTGCCTGTGAGACTGGCACTGTGACACTCCTCCACCACCCATCCCACCACCTCCCCTTCCCACCCCACCCCAAAAGCACGTGCACGGTGCCAACACGTCGATAGGCATTGATGGTGACACGGGTGTCCTCACACGCACGCATTCACAGGCACACGTGCCTCATGTCTCCATTCCACCCGTCCGCCCCTCATCCCTCCCTCCCTCCCCCCCCAACAGCATGCCCAAGGCGCCAACACGTCCATAGGCATTGACGGTGACACGGGTGCCCTCACAGACATGAAGGAGCTTGGGGTGAGTGGTGGGGAATGGTGCTGTGGGGGTGGTTTGTGGGGAGGGCTGAGAGAGAGGGCTGAGTGACAGTGCTGTGGGGGGGGCTGGGGGGGAGGGCATTGGCGGTGATACGGGTGCGCTCACTGACATGAAGGAGCTCGGGGTGAATGGTGGAGGAGGGAGGTGGGGGAGAGAGGTGGGGGAAAGAGGTGGGGGAGAGAGGTGGGGGAGAGAGGTGGGGGAGAGAGGTGGGGGAGAGAGGTGGGGGAGAGCAAAAGCGCAAGAGGAGGTGGTATGGCATGCATGCCTCTGCATGTTTCCCCGTGATGGTGCGCTGCACAGTTTCCTCTTCTCCTCACGCCCCTTCCTCCTCTCCTCACGCCCCTTCCTCCTCTCCTCACGCCCATTCCTCCTCTCTTCACACCCCTTCCTCGTCTTCTCACACCTCTTCCTCGCTCCACTCTGCCACCCGCTGCCTTCCTGCCAGGTGTGGGAGACGTATGCAGTGAAGGTGCAGACAGTAAATACGGCCATCGAGGCGGCGTGCATGCTGCTGTCCCGTCCATGCATTCCCCTCATCCCCCCCTTGCTCCTCCCCACTCCCCCGGCTGCCAGGTGTGGGAGCCGTAGGCCGTGAAGGTGCAGACGGTGAAGACAGCCATCGAGGCTCTGTGCCCCACCTGCTCCACCCCTCAATTCATTCCCCTCATCACACTTCCCCTCAACCTGCCAGGTGTGGGAGCCGTATGCAGTGAAGGTGCAGACGGTGAAGACGGCCATAGAGGCGGCGTGCATGGTGCTGCGCATCGATGACATCGTCAGCGGGCTCAAGAAGAAGCAGGCGGGCGGCATGTGTGCGGTTTAGCCTTTTACACCCTCCACTCATCCCCGTGGCTCCCTTCCTCCCTGCCTCGCGGCCTCCTTGCCCCCTCACCTCCCTGCCCCCCTGCCTGCCTGCCTCTGTGCCTGGCTGCCAGGTGTGGGAGCCGTATGCAGTGAAGGTGCAGACGGTGAAAACAGCGATCGAGGCGGCGTGCATGCTGCTGCGCATCGATGACATCGTCAGCGGGCTCAAGAAGAAGCAGGCGGGCGGCGCACCGGGAGGGGGCAAGCCACAGCTCGACACCGGGGATGACGTTGACTCCGAGCAGATGCTGGCCGAGTGAGGGACGAGGCGGTGTGTTGCGGTGCTGTGCGGTAGTGATCTGTAGAGAGTGTTGAGTAAAAGTTGTCTAGCAGCATGTGCTGTACCATATTTTCCGGTGCATAACACCCCTCCCCCCCCCACTTGAACACTTTTGAGTGACAGATGCAAACCAGAGAACGCTATACAAAAAAAATACTGAGAAACAACTACCATACCATAAATCCTCAACCTCTTTATGATCTTTTAAGTACCAACCTTTTTTTTTAATGCCTGAAATTACGATGTATCCCCTCATTTTGCTTCTAGTACGCGTTCCGAGCGATCACTTGACTTCCACGCTGACAATAAATCACTTCCGCAAGTCCAATTCTCTCATCGTGCACGAGCACGCTTCTAGAATCACTACTAGAGGCGGAAAGCCTTTTCACGTGGCGGCAACACATCGCGGAGTTCGATCCTGCCTCGTCCAATTAAAACGGCAACACGTTCGCATAGCCGTCTCGCCCATCCCTCCCTGCCGAGTTCCTCCCGTAATCGCCGCCGCCTCGTCCATCCATTCCGCATAACCCGAGTGGGGTTCCTTCCGCCTCCTGGCCGTGATGACTAAAATCACCCCGTACTGTCTCCTACGCTGCAACCCGAACGCGGTCGCGCAATGCACATTTTCGAGCTCCGGCGTTGCGATGATCCCCCTTCCTCCCTGGCACCCCCTGCTTCTGCGCGTCCTGCGGCACCTCCCTTCGTGTTCCCCTTCTCTTTTTCCGCGACGAAACGCGTTCCATGATGCGCGGCGTGTCCGCAAGATTAACTTTATTTCTAAGGATACCAATAAATCAAACGGAGCGATTGACCGCTCACTCTCACCACATAAATCCACGCCCGCTTCCAAAGCAGTAATCACATTCTCACACTCCGCTGCTCGCCCTTTGCGCGTCTCTCCGTCTCGTCTCCTCCCTTCCGAGTCGCCGTGCCACCTTCGACTTCCCACCCAATTTCGCCTCGTCACGACTACGAGCGATCGACTGTCTCCATCATCTGCTCGTCACTTTCTAACGCAGAGAATCGACCCAAAAGCGACTGTCCTTGAAGCCTTCTCGGCATCGACGCGAGCGATCTGCTGTCGCAATCTCCTTGGTTCCTCCGGGCCGGCTCGTCTCCTTTCGTGATCATGGACCGGCGCTTCGGGCGGCTGTACGGGCTTGGCGCCGCCGCACTCCTCGTTGCCATCAGCTTCCTCGCGACCCACCCCAGCGCCGCTGTTGAAATCGGTGAGTAGGCTGACTGCCACATACCCAACTGATTCTCACTCTTGCATCCCACACTCTTGCATCCCACACTCTTGCATCCCACACTCTTGCTTCCCACGCTCTTGCTTCCCACCCTCTTGCTTCCCATCCTGGAGAGCTATGGCACCCCCAAGTGCCAGCGCCTGGGAACTCTTCGCTCTTGAAAGCTGAGGCTGAAAGCTGACAAGTGATGCCCCCAGTGAGTGTGAGGGCAATGATATATATGTATATATTAAAAAAAGAAAACCGTCTCTCTTGTGACCCCTTTTGATACTGTACCTTGAAACAACCCTTGATTCCCTGTGCAGGCGTGTGTGTTAACAAGGATTGTGGGAGCGATGCTCAGTGCGTTGTGAGTGCCGATGGCACTGCTGGTGTGTGTGTCAGTGCTTGGATGGTTCTACCTTCAATGAACTTGACAACACATGCGATGGTGGTGGGAGTGTGGGTGAGCGTTGGGAGTGTGGGTGAGTGCTGGAGTGTGGGTGAGTGGTGGAGTGTGGGTGAGTGCTGGAGTGTGGGTGAGTGGTGGAGTGTGGGTGAGTGCTGGAGTGTGGGTGAGTGCTGGAGTGTGGGTGAGTGGTGGAGTGTGGGTGAGTGGTGGAGTGTGGGTGAGGGGTGGAGTGTGGGTGAGTGCTGGAGTGTGGGTGAGTGCTGGAGTGTGGGTGAGTGGTGGAGTGTGGGTGAGTGGTGGAGTGTGGGTGAGTGCTGGAGTGTGGGTGAGTGCTGGAGTGTGCTTCCTCGCGACCCACGCCAGCGCTGTTGATGGTGAGTTCAACTCATCCAAGCCCCTTCCCCTACTTACACCCCGCAACCAGCCATGATCGCCTCTGCAGACCCGTGTGCGGCCCTGGACTGTGGCTCCATGGCTTCCTGCTCTCCCAACGCTGCTGGCGATCCTGTGTGCGTGTGCTCCACCGCTGGTTTGATCTTCAGCGACGTTTACAACACGTGCTTTGGTGAGTGCTGCACTCATGAGTGCTTTGGTGAGTGCTGCACTCATGAGTGCTTTGGTGAGTGCTGCACTCATGAGTGCTTTGGTGAGTGCTGCACTCATGAGTGCTTTCGTGAGTGCTGCACTCATGAGTGCTTTGTGAGTGCTGCACTCATGAGTTGTAGACGATTAATTTCTTTAAACAAACACATTTCTGGAGTAAGCACTTGGTCTCCTCACTCCTTCCGCACCTGAGACGCAATACTGAGATTCAATGGAGGCAACGCTGAGAATCAACTCTTGGAGCAAGAAGGTGGAGGCATGTCATTAGATCGTTGACCAACCGCTTTCGTCTCCTTACACCCCCCACACCTCCCCTCCTACCTACCCCCTTCCTCATCACACCCCCAACTTGACGCCTTCAAGCCCCCATTCGTGTCGTCAACTGTCTGACCGCCGCTCACGCCCCGTATTCTGGACGACGATGGAGCTACTCGGCTGTGTTCATCTCCTCACTCCTCTCGCACATTCTCCCCTGCCTGCCTCTCTCCTTTCCTGTCCCCTGCCTGTTTCCTGTCCTCCGCTTAGGCCCCCTACTCCGCACGCTGATGGAGCTGCAAGGAAACTCTGGGCGCAAGCGCAAGGCCAAGAAGCAGAGGCGCACCTTCTCCACAGCACCTCCTTTCATCTGCTTTCCCCTGTCCCGCCCTCCCCACAGGCCCCCTACTGCGGACGACGCTGGAGCTGCAGGGCCCCAGCTCTGGGCGCAAGCGCAAGTCCAAGAAGCAGAGGCTCATGTTCTCCACCGATGCGCCGGCAGATGCGATCGGTGGCACCATCGCGTGCACGGACCTGACCTCCAGCATCGGCGGCAACACCAAGGCCGCTGTGGTGTGGAGAGTCGCGAAGCTCGCTGGAGCTGAAAACGGCATGTGCCAGAGCCTCACGTTCTACTCCGGCCCCGGCTGCTCGGGCCAGCCGGGCCTGACGATCGCACGCCCTGCGATGAAGGGCCTTGCCTACCCCTGCGATGAAGGGCCTTGCCTACCCCTGCGATGAAGGGCCTTGCCTACCCCTGCGATGAAGGGCCTTGCCTACCCCTGCGATGAAGGGCCTTGACTACCCCTGCGATGAAGGGCCTTGCCTACCCCTGCGATGAAGGGCCTTGACTACCCCTGCGATGAAGGGCCTTGACTACCCCTGCGATGAAGGGCCTTGACTACCCCTGCGATGAAGGGCCTTGACTACCCCTGTGATGAAGGGCCTTGACTACCCCGTCACGAAAGGGTGTGTGAGCATGGTGCATGGCATATGTGTGATGCACGGCGGCACATGTGTGATGCACGGCGGCACATGTGTGATGCATGCACGCCATGCGATGTGTGGTTTAGTCCTTTCTTCTTCCAACCCATGGGTACAACGCTCATGGATCACCAGAGTAGCGTGAATGAAGTGGCTGTCATAACTGGAGTTTCTCGTCCTCATCTGTGCTATTCCCTATCCTTCCCTATCATTACCTCTCCCACTCTCAGGACTCTAAAAAAGGCATCCCAATTGCCGAAATCACTTGGCTGCCGGATCGGTAAGTGTGGGTGCACCACACGTAAGGGAGAGAGATAAATGCATGCTCTGAAGTATGGGTGCAGACGTAAGGGAGAGGGATGAATGCATGCTCTGAAGTATGGGTGCAGACGTAAGGGTGATTTGTGCCTTGCTCTCTTCCAACAGGTGCCTCTAGCTCACATGCAGCTATAAAAAAGCCCACATGCACCCTTGAAAAGCCCACATGCACCCTTGAAAAGCCCACATGCACCCATGGAAAGCCCACATGCACCCATGAACAGCCCACATGTCAGTGACACATCTTCCTCTATCAACTTCTGTTGCATCTCACTTCTTTTTATGTGTCCTTCCCTCCATTTGACCCTTCCCTCTGCAACTATAGCTTGCTTGCATCCGCTCGAAAGAAGCTGGTGAACAAGCACAGAACGGGCGGCCCTACTTGGATGGGGGGGTGGGGGGCAAGGAGGCGCAAGCTGGCAGCACCAGAGCGACGTCATATCGGCGGGGGCTGATGGAGCAGAGGTTTGAGCAACTGCATGCGGTTGCTCGGGGGCTTAGAACCAACTTGGCTGACGGCTGACTGGATTGTTTCGTGCGTGTATAAGGAATGTTCTTGCATGCTTGCTGGTCTGTCTGTTGTACCATGGATTGCTAATTCTGTTTCTTCATATAGATTGCTAGTTTTCGGAGCTTTGTGTGCTACCCTGTATTTCTATTTCTCTTTGTTTGTCATTTGTACTTGGCGACTGCTAACCTGTTTCGTTGTGAACCATAGCTGGACATCCACTTTAAGCACCTACATAGACCACCCCCACATCATGGAACCTAGGGTCTTCTACAGGGGCTTAGGCACATCATGGAGAACATCGGTACCATATGGCCCCGGATATAAGCGCAGGCCTATTAAAAGCGCATGCGCTTGTATCTGGAGCAATGCGCTTATGGCCGATCCTCAATTATAAGCGCACCCCTTATAAAACCCTGATATATAATACGCGCATGTGTAATTTTACTTATAGTTCTTCATTAAAACGGTAACGAATCTCAGTTTTGCAGCGAGGCCACAACCCATTTTCGCTTACATTGACTTTCGAAGACCTCTCACATCCTGCGCGACCAGTCAGCACGAGCTGGCACGCCCTCAAAGTGAGGTGCTACACTGTATATTGCCTCAGGGGGCTCGCGAAGAGCAGGGCTAATTTTTGGATTTTGACTACCCTTATGAGCAGTGTGGTACAAGGTCAAAAACCTGATTATCAGTGTGACCCCTTCTGAAAACCCTGTTACATCAGGGTTTATGTCGGTTTTCAAAAATTTACCCTGTCGCATCAGTGTTCTTAAAAGACAAACCCTGGAGAAACCGCAAGTCTGGCCTATGGTGGCCCACTTTGAGCCAACACATGCGTTGTCAAGGCCGAAATTACGGTTTCGCCAGTTGGCAATCGGGATTCGGGAATCCTGGGTTACTGGAAAAAGGGGGGGTGGGGGAACTGGGGGGGGCGGGGGGGGGGGGGGGGGAGTATGGAACTCGTTATTGAATAAGGGAACCCTTAGTCATCAGTGTGCCTATATTGTAAACCTTGACACATCAGGGTAATCTTGACTCTTAGAAAAATTACCCTGGACCATCAGTGTTACTCCCAAAAACCACCCTGATTATCAGGGTATCAGGGTGATTTACACTGATAAAATTAGCCCTGGCAAAGAGTCGCCCACGCGCGATTTTGACATGTGACTTTCTACAATTTCGATTCGATTGAAATCTGAAGGATGAGATGTACAATTTGGTGCATTGAAATATATATTTGTATTTGTTATATTATAAGCGCATGCGCTTATAATTTTTACTCAATTATAAGCGCACCCCCCAAAAAAACACTGTTTTATTATAAGCGCAGGTGCGCTTATATCCAGGGTAATACGGTATGTGTATTTCTTTGTGTCTCCACACATCTCAATTGGTGATGGCCATAGCGTCTGAGAAAACTGAAACGAGAATGAATGAACTATGAAAGGAGTGGGTACAAGTACTAAACCTAATTGGGTTGTACCCCCTATGGGATACCCCACTACAGCCTACACAAATGTATAAGCTATATAATGTTCCGACACACCCCCATAGGCAAAGTGGGGGACAACAAGGGGTCACAAGACCAGTCAAGCAAAGCAAAACAAAGCAAACTCAGGGTGGATCTCAAAGTCACCACACATTCTGAGCACAAGGTCAAGGCCACAAGGCCAGTTTACATGCAAGAGTACACATATATATAAAGCTAGACAAGCAAGAGCAAGTATGTATATATGTAACAGTACAAGCAAGGTCAAGAAGTGAGCAAGTGAGGCAAGACAGGCACAAGACCCAGCTGAGTGCAGAAGCGCTGATGATCACAAGGCGCAAGTGCCTTAGTGAAGACATCAGAAGTGTTGGCCTCAGAGGCCACGTACGCAAGCCGCAACTGACCACGCTGCTGTAGCTCACGAGCAAGGAAGTAGCGGAGAGGAATCTGCTTTGTTCTGTGCTCCAGTCTCTGCTCTTGACACAAGGCCAGCATGGCCTTGTTGTCTACGTACAAAACTGGAGGAGAACGAGGCGGCTCTCCGAGGCCAGTCAGTAGGTAGGTGAGCCAGCGAAGTTCCTGTGCAGCCATGGCCCCTGCGTAGATCTCGGCCTCACAACTGGAGCCGAGAACAGAAGACGAGCGAGTAGCCCGCCACGAAACAGAGCCGGAACCAAGGCTGAAGGTGTAACCCTGTGACGACCGCTGCGTAGCCTGGTCGTCAGCCCAAGAAGCGTCCGCGTGCCCAGTGAGGACCACTGGACTCCGCCCTCCAAGCACTAGCCCCATGCCCGACGTACTGCACAAGTAGCGCAACACCCTCTTCGCTGCAGCCATGTGCTCTGGTCGGTGTCTCCCAGGAGCAACATAGCGTGCGAGAATGCTAAGAGGGTATGCAAGGTCAGGTCGTGTGCAGGTCATCAGGCACATGAGGAAGCCAACAAGCTCTGGATACGGGCCACTCGACTCTACGGACTCATCCGAAGGCAGAGCTGAGAGTGAGTGGCGAGTAGGCAGAGGAGTGGCCTGATGCGAGGAGTACGTGAAGCCGAAGCGCTGAAGGACCTGCTGCACCATGTGTGACTGAGTCAGGGTAATGGTGCGACGTGCTCTCTCCCGGGTGATCTGCAAGCCAAGGTAGTTGCGCAGTTCACCCAGGTCTGTGCACGTGTGTCTCTTCTGCAGCTCGGACTTCACGTAGGCGAGTCCAGCAGTGTCAGCTATGGCAAAGACCAAGTCGTCGACGTACACGAGGATGTAGAACGGCGGCAGAGAGGTGTCGGTGCGCAAAAACAGCGACGGGTCGGCAGTAGAAGGAGCAAACCCAAGAGCCGCAAGCGTAGTCCTCAGTGTGTCGTGCCACTCACGGGGCGCCTGGCGGAGACCGTAGACTGGACGCCGAAGACACCACTGGGTACCAGGAGGGAATGACCCAGTGAAGCCAGGTGGGCGGCGCAGCCAGATCTCCTCGTGCAGGCTGCCCTGCAAGAAAGCAGTGCTGAAGTCGAGAGAGTGCATCTCGTAGTCACAGTGAGCAGCAACGTGCAGCAGTACTCGAAGAGTGGTCATCTTCGGGGTGGGAGAGAAGGTCTGAAAGAAGTCAACTCCCTGCCGCTGACTGAAGCCACGAGCCACGTAATGTGCCTTGAAGACAGGCGGAGAACCCAGCGGCCGCTTCACCCTGAAGATCCACATGCCACTGAAGATGTTCGCCCCAGGTGGGGGAACCTCGTCAATGTAGGTGCCTGTGGACTTCCAGCAAGCCATCTCTGTGTCCCTAGCTGCCGGTCACTGAGAAGAGTAGGGACCCTCTATCGCTCCGCGTAAGAGCGCGGAGCCGGGATGTCAAGTGCATCCGGGTCTCCCTCAGGGGTAAGCAGTACGGACACGAGATGCGGTGAAGCAGCAGCCAGACAGTGGAACTCCTCCTGCCTGTCCTCAAGGACATCCGTGCCAAGGGCACATTCACCCCCTACGGACGGAGGACAGACACACACAGACTCAGCGACAAGACTAGCAGCGTAGTCTAGGCGACAGCGAGCAGCAAAGTCGACGAGCTCAGCAACTAGGCCAGACGCAGCAGTGGACTCAAAGGAAGGGTCAGTGACGACAGTAGCAAGGAGACGCGTGACAGTAGGACTGGCAGCACGAAGAGAGTCCGACTCGAGGTCGGCAAGAGCAGGAAGAGAGGACTCAGGAGGAGAAGGCAAAGTGGCACGCAGAGGAGCAGTGGACGGACGCACAGACATCTGGTGTGTGCCAGGGACAGGAGGAGGATGCAGACGCGAACTACGACCACTAGTGCGAGCAGCACGGACAGGCAACGCAAGGCGAGACGCAGGCTCACGACGCTCAGCAAGACCTCCAGTAGGACCAGTGTAGGGAGAAGGAGCAGGCAGAGGGGAGGCCGGCTGTACCTGTAAATGTGACGGAACAGGC